TCCAAGATTCTTTATAAGGCGTTCAAATGATTCCGATAATTACCTGACGATCGCTGTCGGTAGCCTCAGCAGCCCATTCTCGATACCAAAAATATACATGATCACCATATGCAAATGATGCCACAAAATTTGGTGCTGCAAAAGAAGAGGAAATAAGAAAGAGTCAAATTTTCATTCGCCCTCATTTCAGTGCTCCTCATTATTCACCATCCTTGTACTTCTAAATTTCCATTTTTCGCAGCAAAGTTTTTGCACTCGAGTAAAATGTAAACCAGAAGTACAAAATGTGCGAAATAAATTGCACAGGAAATATATTATTAATGATATTATTATTACTATTATTACTGCTACTATTATTACTACTATTACTACTAATAATATCATTGTTACAGTCACTGCCATCATTATTATCAATATTAATAATATTTTTACCGTCATCATCACCAATGTTATTATTACTATACGCGAGGAGGACAAGCTACAACAGTTTGCCAGCAGGATAAACCACTACAAGAAAAAAATGGCCTAAAGATGTGCTATACGAATAATTGGCCTCAGAGGTCGATTGCACGCAGTTTCCATCTATGAAACTCAATACCACCAGCGTAGAGAACAATAGAAAACCGATCCTTCAAGGCAATTGTTAAGACATTTTTATGGCGAACTGATGCTTTCGCATGTCCAGGAATAAAATTACTTATTAGCTAGGAAGGAAGGTACCATGTGAAACCCTGATGGAGTATAATTTTGTTGGAAATGTGCTATCATTCAAGCTATTTTCGAAAAATACAACTCGCAGAACATGAAATTTGGACAAGGATTTTAGATTTTTCTGATAGTAACCCATTTTTGCATGTATCCAGGCGAAAATTTTATTATTTGATTCTGACACAAATTTCACGCACAAGTGGATAATTTCAACAAAGAAAATTTTAATGGATTTTTAGAATGGACATCATTAAATATATGTTTCAAGACATTGAAGAAAATGTGCGTGCTAGTGACATCTACAGATGAAAACTTTTCCTGAATAATTATTCTTAAAACTGCACTTCAGCCCAGCCCTAAGCTTCACGGGATCTGAAAAAAATCCTTGGGGCAAAGGGACCGCGGCAAGAATGACAGCCCCAAAGTGAGGTAAAATGAAGTATGATATTCCAAAATAAGGAAAGGTGAGGCAGAAAATTCTAAAAAGGTGAAGGTGAGGTACGATATTTTAAACAAAATATGATTTTTTTTTTTGAACGCATGGCATTGTAAAGCAGCACAAAAAGCCTGCGAATCTCAATAAAAAGCGTTTTTTGTCATATAATCTCCAAATGGGGCTATTTCCCTTCGTAGAGCCCTGAAATAAGGTCAGTAGCCTTAGGCATCCGTT